CTTATTCGTTTATTTATCTACCTTAGGATATTATAATATATCTATATAAAACTAAGACCTACTCCTTAGTCTATTTATAGTCGAATCGATAGTATAGAAACTAGCCGATTAAGACTAATTAATAGTATCTACTCTCCTCCGCTATCTATTATAGTATCCTATTCTTTATTCTCTTTTATCTTATTACTTAAACCCCTAGGTCTTAACCCTTATAGATTAGGTTTCTTAACTATACTATTAAAGTTAGTCTCTATCTTTAAGTTAGGCAGTTAAATATAAAAGGAAGTTATATTATACCTATTATTTTATTATATTATTTTCTACTCTCTATACCTAGTTAAATCCTATATTAATCCTCCTAGAAATAATCTTATCATTTATACTAAGACTGCCTAACTTATATTAGTATAATAAACGTTTTAGATAGTTTTAAAAGTAGGAGAATACTCTATTTAAAGCTTAGTATCTTTAGCTTTATAGAATCTTTTAAAATATCTACTAGCTATAATATTTAGTATTTAGTAACTAGGTTACTATACTATTTTAGCTAAAACAGCTACTATATATAGAAAGGATAGTAGTTCCTAATTTTAGTAAGTAAGAAATAAATAATCTAAATTATCTATAGCTTATTTTATTATATATTACTAATAATATAAGAGTACCTATTTATAGTTTAGGTTAATAGTTAGTAGGCTAGTAGATTAAAATAGGATAAGTACTAGTATAAAATAGTGCTATCGGCGCAATTTCCTATCTAATATATAAATTAGGTTAGCTAATCTTATATATAGACTAGGTACTATAACTAGGGTCTAATATCTATATTTATATACTTAGTATCTACTAAACTCTATAGTAGAAAATATAAAAGGTATATTATCTACTACTAAAAGAGTTTCCTCCCTATCTATAAGCCTACTAAGGTTAAGGCTATAGTCTATATATAAATCCTAGACTATACTCTAGGTTAGATTTAGTTCTATATATAGACCTCTAGTCTTATATAAATCCTAGATTAAGTACTAGGTAAAAAATCCTAAGTAATTACTCTAGGTTAGATTTAGTTCTATATATAAACCTCTAGTTATATATAAATCCTAGATTAAATACTAGGTAAGAAATCCTAACCCTTTATAGCTTAGGTTAGATTTAGTTCTATATATAGATTACTAGTCTTATATAAATCCTAGATTAAGTACTAGGTAAAAAATCCTAAGCTATAACCCTTTATAGCTTAGGTTAGATTTAGTTCTATACACAGACCTCTAGTTATATATAAATCCTAGATTAAGTACTAGGTAAAAAATCCTAAGCAATTACTCTAGGTCGGATTTAGTTCTATATATAGACTACTGGCTATATATAAATCCTAGATCAAGTACCAGGTAAAAAATCCTAGGCAATTACTTAAGGTTAGATTTAGTTCTATATATAGACCTCTGGTCTTATATAAATCCTAGATCAAGTACCAGGTAAGAAATCCTGACCCTTTATAGCTCAGGTTAGATTCAGTTCTATATATGGACCACTGGTCTTATATAAATCCTGGATTAAATACCAGGTAAAAAATCCTGAGTAATTGCTCTAGGTTAGATTCAGTTCCATATATAGGCCTCTGGCCATACACAAATCCTGGATTAAGTACTAGGTAAGAAATCCTGACCCTTTATAGCTTAGGTTAGATTCAGTTCTATATATAGACCACTGGTCTTATATAAATCCTAGATCAAGTACTAGGTAAGAAATCCTAAGCTATGACCCTTTACAGCTTAGGTTAGATTTAGTTCTATACGTGGACTACTAGTCTTATATAAATCCTGGGTCAGGTACCAGGTTAGGCTATAATAAGACATTCCGCGCCTACCCTCTAGTAACTGATAGATACCTCTTTATAGTACTAGAGACTATTACTTAGTATAAGCTAAGGAAGCCAAGATCTATCTTTAACTTTTATACAAAATTTTACCCTCTCAGTAGAACTAGTAACAATTATTTAGAAACTAAAATTATTAATAGTCTTTAAAGTTTCTATTAACTTTTAAGTAGGACTATATAGACTAGTATAGTAAAGTACTTAAGAGTATAATTCTTAATATTATAACTAGTAGATATAGAATAAAAGGGATTTAGGCTTACTAAGCCTTATAAATATAGGTATAAATCAGGTATATATAATAGCTGAATATCTCTAAGTATACTAGTAAGAATATAGCCTACTATATTTAACAGTTTTCTATAACTATATAGTTTATTACTGCCTTTAATTATATAACTTTTCTACTATAGTATAGAATATATAAAAAGGAAAATAATAATCATAGAATAATAGAATAGTTAATATTAACTAGAAGAGGTAAAATATAAGACCATATAACCTTAAGTTTTCAATAAGTCTTTAAACTATTCAAACTATTCAAACCTATTTATCTTAGACCTATTTATCTTAAACCTATTTATCTTAAACCTATTTATCTCTATTCATCTTAGACCTATTTATCTTAGACCTATTTATCTTAAACCTATTTATCTCAAACCTATTTATCTTAAACCTATTTATCTTAAACCTGTTTATCTTAAACCTATTCATCTTAAACCTATTTATCTTAGACCTATTTATTTCAGACCTATCTATTTAGACTTATTTATTTTATACTTATTTAAATCTACCATTCTAATTTAATAAACTAAGCTTTATCTTCTCTTTAACCATATTATTTACTTCCTATAGATTATTAATTAGAAATATATTTAGATAGATTAACCAAATACTAAAAGAAATTATACTATATTATTTATTAAGGTAGTATTCGTTTAAAAGGGTTTTCGTTTATAATAATCTTTATTAAGAATAGTATTTTAGATAGTATCTAAATTAGTATTTAAAGTAGTATTAGTTTATCTAAGATACTATTTGTTTAAGATACTATTTATTAGGATAATTACCTAAGATAATCTTTATTTAAATATTCGTTAGATTATAAAGTTTATATAGTATTCTTAGTATTTAGCTTCTATAAAGCTAGATCTTTAACTAATATAGATAAGTAAGTAATATAACCCTACTTTCGCCGACTATACTAGTTACCTATTTATAAACTTTACCTAGGCTATTTAAGAATAAGTATATTATCCCCTATCCCTAATTCTATTATAAGGTAATTTAGTAGCTAATAGTCTTTTACTAGCTTATACTTATTACTATCTTATATAGTATAAAAGGCTTTTAATAGCCTTTACCTTTACTATAGTCTATAAGCTTAAGCCTAGTATAATATCCCTATTACTAGTAATTAATCTAACTAAACTAGAATACTAAGGTATTATAGTTTATAATTCCCTATCTCTTATCTACTAATAACCAATAAAGATCTAAAATATTACTTAGATATTATATAATTCTATAGTTTAATTCATAAATACCTAAGAGAAACTAGAGTTAACCTTAGGTAGACTTAGCCTATAATCTAAATAACTATATATATAAGGAGATTACCTAGATACTAGTAGTATAAAAAGGACTTATTATACTTTAGTATATAAGAAGTAATTATAGTACTAAGTATATCTTAGGTAACTAGTAAGAGTCTTATATTAGAATATAATTGTTATAGTATAGACTAGTATAGGTATAGCTAATTAAGTATTTAAGAGTATATTTTTTATATATTATATAAAGTATAGAATAAATAGAGAATAAACTTAGTAAGGTTATTAAGAGCCTTAGGATTATTAGGTAGATAGGGGTACTAAATATTCTAAGTATACTAGTAAAATTATAACCCTCTTTTATTAATATCTTATCTAACTAAATTAATATAAAGGTTATCTATAAAACTTATACTATCTAAGATAATCTAACTCTATTAGAATTAGCGATAGCCTTTACTAAGGTCTAAGAATAAGCTTTATATTAAAATACTTTAACTTAGCTAATTAGACCCTATTAGCTAAAAGCTACTCTAACTAAAGATAAAGTCTCCTAAAGTATAATTACTATTTAGTTAGTCTATTTATTAGTTTATATATACCTAGATTAAATATAAGTAAGTAACTTTAAGATATAAAAAAAAAAAAAACTAGTACCTCCTAGTAACCCTATTAAATTATTATATTAATATAAATCCTAGTTATATAAGCACTACTCCGAGAACTTTAAATTTAGTGATTTTAGAATCTTAAATATTAATATAAAAATATAGATAAATAACTAAATAACTTTTATAAGATATATCGCTTAGGTAACCGGGATTTATATTAGTATAGGGTCCTTTCTACTAACCTAATATTTTATAGGATTTCTTAGTCTAATAATAACCTTAAACGATTATCTTATTAAGAAGATTATACTTATAAATAAAAATAAGGATACTCTTTACTATAGGAAGGGGAGACCTCTAGTAAGAAGATATAGGTTTCTAAGTAATTAAGAAGATTCCTAGACTTAACCTAACCTACCCTCTCTCTATCGCTATAGCGCAGATTTCTCCTTAGCGGAAATATTAGATTAAGAGCAACTAGGATATAGCCAGTTATTAGGCTACTAAACCATTATATAGGCCTCCCTAGAGAAAATCAAGACTATATACTATCTACAGTAAGCCGATAGGAGTAGTATATCCTACCAAAAAAAACCGCAGATCTCCTCGACTCTATCGCGTAGTATATCGGAATTTAGCCAAATAGATAGAGGCGATCCGCTATGATTAGCTAAGCTAACTACGCCCCAAGTATATCCTAAGCTAATGGTATCTTAGGATTATTCCTAACGTTAATACGATATACAGTTATCTAGTACATTAGGGAGTTATAGGGCAACCATCACAGTAATTTTCGTATATATTATCGCTCTGGACGCCAGTAGAGGGAGATTAGTATAACCCGAATTTGGTATATCTGTGCCTTCCAATGCCCCCCTACCGCCTTCGGGATGGGGGTACACCACACCAGAAAACCAATTCACACCGGAAAACCAATTTTGAAGCTATTCACATTAACTACTACTTTTCACCTTGAGTATCTATCCAAAAAGACTCCCCTCCCTGCTGCGCTGCCATCACTGTATCTGATAATATAGATCTCTCCTCAATAGGCGACTTGGGTGGCGGCTGGCTGTATAGTTTTGTCCACTGTTTATCTAACCTCTTCTTCTCTTGTATAGCTTCTTTCTCTCTCCTGGTCTTCAATGATCGGTTGGCATCTTTTGTACTGAGTATACCAGAGTCTCTGATCTTAGGAACCTCTCTTCTGGTGATTTTTCGCTTCCGAGGGGCCTGTATCTCCCTCATTCGACTAACAGTATCGCTCATCATCGCAAGCTCTTCCGCTGTACGTTTATGATGGTAGAACGCACGTTGTAGGCCTCGTTGGAGCTTCGGTGCAAGGCTATCTGTAGTAAATATCTTTGAAAGCTTTTTTTGATTTTTCTCGAGGTCTTGAGCACTTTTTGGAGGGGTGTTTTCCACGCTAGAAGAAGAGATATTCGGAGGAGGTGTTGTTTCACCGTATGCGCGAAGATCGGGTGCGAGGAGGTCTGATATCGGTGGAAGAGTATCCTGAAGTTTTTGAATAACAGGATCGCCATTCGGAGGATATATACCACGTTCTTTGAAAGAATTTCGAATGATTCGCTGGTTGAAGGTTTTGTTGCGTACGCTCACGATATCCTTAAGGAAATCCGCTTTCCCCGCGGGGATTCCACCCCACTGAGAAATAAGGTTATTTTGCTTACGAAAATGCTGTTTATAAGCAAGAAAAGGCTTGCCATCAAGAGGTTGGCAAATATGAGTCGTATGAGGCCGAAAACAAAAAGGGATAATGTTGTAATCCTCGCAGATTTGTAGAAATTCGACGGTCTTATGGGTCTCATGACCATCGAATATTAACACACGCTTTTCACCCCTCTTCACCCGATCTTTTGTAGCTTCATGAAATTTATGAAGCCATCCAATAGCAAGGAAGTCATTGATATATCCCTTGGGCGAAACAGCCGTCCAAAAGTGTGGTAGATCAGGGTGATCATACCAACTTTCCATAAACTTCTCGCCTTTGAAGATAAACAGCGGGTCCATAATCCACCCATCAGCAGCGATACACTCGATCGCTGTGATGTTTTCAGCACGATCGAACTCAGCAAGATCAGGGCATCTTCCCTTCGTACCAATAACCTTCCGAGCCCTTCCCTGGCCGGGTTGGAAGCCGCATTCATCGAAGTTATAGATCAAGTGTGATGGGAGACCTTTGAGTACGTTCGCAAGCTGACTATACCAGTGCTGTAGGTATCCTACATCTTCTGCATCAAGACGTTTCTTATCCTTCGTTCTCTGTGTCACAGGGCCTAGTATAAGGTGTGGTGGGAGTCTTTTCTCGAAACGATACGCCCACATCTTACTGACTTCATAATTCAAACCAGCGCGCACGAGAGCCCGATTCGCCCACTCTGTGAGCATCTCAGGGGTAACGGGGAGGTATAAATCACGCATACGAGTGATCCACTGGACTAAAGCTTTCTCCTGATACTCATCAAGAGCTTTATTTTTAGGTGTATAGGCGTTACGAGCCTGTCGTCCCCGGCGAACGCGACCGCGCAGTATCTCATACGGAATGTCATATTCCCGCGCGATCTTCGCAAGATTCGGTTTTTTTTCGTGCTGGGCGGCTTCGCAGGCCTCAATTACACGGGATTCGTCTATTTTGGGTGCCTTTGGCATCGTGGGTAGGTGGGAATCAAGTCAAGAAGATGAATAGCTTTAAAATTGGTTTTCCGGTGTGAATTGGTTTTCCGGTGTGGTGCACCCCCATCCTGAAGGCGGTGGGGGGGCACTAGAAGGCATAGATAGTCTCGACTCGCATTACTTGATCGGTGCGTTGTATTGACCTCGAACTCCTTTTAGCACCGGCTCACTATGTTTAAAGACAGTTAGAATGGTCATATATCAACTAGGGTTCAATCGGGGTTCAATCGGGGTCCAACTGGAGTTTAACCGGCTCTATTGCTAGTAAACTGGTCCAGTCTATAGCAGTCCCTCGTGGTACTTAATATATACTTTTCTCGGGTATATAGGCTATAGTTATAAATTTAGGTTAGAGGTCCTATTAGAACTAAATACCCTACTAGAAATCACGGCTCCCTAAACGCAGTCTATTTTTCTAAAGAGATATATATATCTAGAGCGCTATATTACTATATAGCCTACGACGATAAGTAGGTATAGTAGCGACTGTCTATTCTTAAAATAAGGGTAATATTTGGATTAGATAATAAAATAAGGTCCTTATTTTCTAACTTAGCCTATCTCTAAGTAAAAAGCTTACCTTAGAAGATATTTTAGTAGTAAATTAGGAATATAAAAGTAATTAATAAGGACGATAGTTCTAACTTCTTAGTAAATAGTATAGTATAGTAATAGTAATAAGTCTATTAGGAGTATCTAATACTATAATAGAAAATTACCTAATTAAGGAGCTATTAGAGTTAGATAGTCCCTATATTATTAATAGTATATTAGGGAAGCTAGGAGCCTACCTTTAGCTATCTAATACTAATTATTACTTATCGGGTAACTCTATTAGACTACTATTAGGGTAGGCTAAAAGAAATTTACTTCTATCTAAACCTACGTTATTTTAAAGAGATAGATTATTTATATTACTAATATAAAAAATTCTAGCTATAGTATTTACTAGTCTCTAGATTTTAATTAGGTAATTATAATCCTACTGAGTATCTCTAATATATTAGAAACTATTACTTCTAATATCACTCCTTATAAGAAAAGTCTCTAAATACTAGAACCTCTAGCCTAGGTAACCTTTTCGGCCTAAATACTTAGTCTATAAAGTCTAGGACCTCTTTAATCTTAGCTAACTTAGTAGTAATAGCCTCCGACCTACCTAACCTATCTAATAGCCTTATTCTTAGAGACTTAGTAGATTATTCTTCCTAGAGACTTATAAAGTTAAGATTATAGTTAGGGAGTAAGCTCTATCTTAATAGTCTACCCTAGTAACTATATAGATATCCTTTATCTCTATTATCTATTATCTAAATCTATAAAATAGCTTTTAATTAAATATCTTAATAGAGATAGTCTATACCTATAAGTTAAATATAAAGTACCTAAAGATAGGAATCGTTAGTACCTAGCTTAAGGCTTACTTACTATATTAAGAGATTAATAACCTCTCTTTCTTAATAAATATCCTCTTATATAAACTATTAACTATAGAAAGTATATTTATATATAGTACTAAGGTAGAGAGTCGATTAAGATACCTTAACTTAGTATAATTAAATATCTATAATAGATAGAAATCTTAAGTATCCTACTATAGTCTTTTATTATCTATTAGAGTAAGTTATTTCTTATAATATATAAGGGTCTATAGGGTCTAACTGTAATACTAAATTATAGGTTCAATTTAGTAGGTATATATAAAGTTAGTAAGTTTTAAATAGAGATACTATAAGCCTTAGAGAGAAAGTAAGAAAGTAATAACTAGACTAAGATTTACCTTACTAGGGTTAAGTAGTAGATTATTATAATAGAGCTTAAATAGCTGTAGCTATAGCTTATTCTATAAGTAAGATAGTACTTCTAAATACTTATAAGAGTTTATATAGTTATATAACTTTAAGGATCTTAACCTAGTAAAAGTTAATAAAGAGGTCTAATCTAGACTTTTCTAAAGATATACCTTAGAGAGTATTAGGTATATAAGAGAGGGTAAAAATATAGGAGTAGGGCCTACTAAGAATATTATAGTAGTAACTATAGACTATTATAGCCTAAGTACTTAATAAGAGAAATCTAGTCTACTAGTAGATATACTAAATCCTATTAAAAGTATTCTTAAATACCTTTAGTTCTAATAGATATATTTTTATAGTAGCTTAATCTTAGTTAAATACTAGATACCCTTCTATTTAATAGCCTCTAAGGAAGATAATAGGTATAGACTATTTAGATAGCCTATAGTATAGAGGTATAAGCTATCTATAACTAATAAAAGATAGGCTAGATTTTCCTAGTATTAGATTAAATATCCCTCTCTATCTAATATACTAGTTAGAAGGTATATACCTAAGTACTACCTAGTAGTTAATTAGTATAATAAATAGGGTTCTATAGTATAGGAAGATCTAATATATATATAAAGGATTAAAGGAGACTAAGGTAGAGATAAGTAAAGACTAAGTAAAGTTAATCCTTAATATCCTCTAAGAACTACTAATAAACCCTAGTATAGTTAGGTATCCTAATCCTTAAGAAAGGATTAGTAGCTAATCTAACTACTTAAAAGATATTAAATACTATATAGTAATTAAACTAAATAAGATAGATTAGGATATTAATTTCTAAATAGTAGGTATATCGAAGGTAGCCGGTACTTTTAGAGTATTAAATAAAGAAACTATTAATATTAAGTATATTTAAGGTTTACTTACTTATAGTATAAAATATAGCTATATAGTAAATCTAAGAGATTAGAGTATAGTAAAGCTTTAAGGAGGTATAGCTTAGGGATCGAAGAGTAAGTAGTAGTAGCTAAGGGATATTAATAAAGTACTTAAGTTCTATAAGAATATATATACTTAGTCTATAATATTTTCTAGGAGTTTATTTAGAAGATTATTAAGTATATTTTCTATAATCTAATATCCTTTTCTAATAAAAGGAAGCTTTAACTCCTTTATACTACCCTTCCTACTAAAGCTAATTCTAGGTAGGAACCTATATTAAAGAATACCTATATAAGTATAAAATATAATGTTATATAGAAGATATTAGAATAAATATAACTTAAATAATAGTTAAAGAAAGGTATAGCGAAATTTAAATATCCTAGAGACTTAGCTTAGAATACTAAAAATTTAGACTCTTTTAGTAAGTATAATTAAGGTTATCTATTAAATTATAATTATAGATTTCAGTTAACTATATTTTCTTTTTAGGGTATATTTAAGTAATTAGGTAAAAGAATAGCCTATCTAGTACCTATAGAAGAGAGAGTTTATAGCTATAGTAATAGGTAGTCTAACCTATAATAGTATTATTCCCTTAAGGTATAGGTAAAAGCCTATAAAAGATATATTACCTTATTTAAATCGATACTATATAGCTATAAAATATATAAATAGCTCTATAAACTAAAGGATTAGCTAGGTTAGAGAATATATATATATCTATTCTATATATCTAACAGATAGCTTCTTACTAAAGAATATATAGAATTATAGGTAAAAATCGGCTTATAATAATACTATATAATAATTAGCTAACCTATCTTAGGGAATAATCTAGGACTATATAACTTTAGGATAATAGTATTAATTAAGCCTAAAGATCTCCCTTTAGATCTTCTAGAGATTCCTATTCCCTCTTATATTATAGATACTTAGGATAATTATAAGAAACTAGATCAATCTCTATTATAGCTATTACTTTAGCTATTACTAATATATTATAAACTAATTAGCTTCCCTTTAATTATATATTATCTCCTCTTCTCTAGTTATAAGGATTACTACTTTATTAAATAGAGAGAATCTAATCTATTTACCCTACTTACCTATAGTAAGGATATATTTACTTTCCTTTACTCTATACTACCTAGTGAAGTAAGTTAGCTTAATATAAGACTATCTATTATAAGTTAGCTTTTAGATTAGATAGTAGTTAATCTCCTATTTATAATTTTACTAAGTAAATAGTATACTAACTTATTAAATAGTTTTTAGCTCTATATTTATAATATTCTATTATATTAGGTTTTAAGCTAATACTAATACTAATATATAAGTCTCGATTAGTTTATACTATAACTAGCGATATAGCTATAGTAAGACCGGTAGTATAGAGATAAAATTAAGTATATAGAAGGGAAACTTATAGAGACCTCTCTCCTTAATCCTAGGTATTTTATCTATAATATTATTAGCAATTTCTAGAACTATAAATTAACTATAGCTATAATATATATATAGTATACTATTAATAAAGGAGTATATTAGAACTACTTAATCCTTCCTTAATAATAGAGAATATTATACTAGAGGATCCTACCCTTATTTCCTAAAACTTAGTATATCTTCCTATTTATTATTATTCCTTATAGATTCCCTTACTTATATAACTTAGAGGGTATAAATACTAGTTCTAGATATTTAAATAAATATTTATATAGCAGTCTACTAGCCTATATATATTCGGCTCCTATTTTAGTTTAGATAAGATCTTAGGATTTTTAATTATTCTCTAATATAATATTAATAGATATTATATTTATAGAATATATAGATTTAAATATACTATCTCTATTCTAACCTTTTATTTCTTACCCCCTTACCCTTTAAACTTCTAACTCCTTATAGGAAAAAGTAAGTATCCTAAATATAATTAAAGGTTATTATTAAGTATAAATAGTTACCTACTATATAGAATCCTAGATAATAGAATAGTTATAAATTAGCTTTCTAGAACTAGACTATAGCTTTATACCTAGTAAATACCTAGTAGAGATTATATAGGATTAATATTCTAATAAAATAAGCTCTACTAGATATAGGAGATTGTATTATATATCTATATTCTATAAAGATACTAAAAGAGAAGGCTATAGCTAGAACCTATTATCTAATATAGTCCTATAAATAACTAAAGTTTTATATTATATCTACTACTATAGCTACTAATCTTAAGCCTACTAT